GTTCCTGAATTGCCTTCCTAAAGAATAAGAGCTTAACTTATTTTAATTTTTGTAAAGGACTTTTAATAAGTTCTTATTTTCAATATTAGCCAAAAATTTCTAAGCCATATTTGCACATGTTGTTTAAAGTGTTTTCTAATAAAATGTTTTGAATTAGAATTGTTACTAAATTGTTTTCTGAACTTATTTGAACACCTAGCTTAGCACAGACAAAAAAAGTACTTCCCCACAGAACTGAGGGTGCATAGGAAGCTGTTGTGCCTTACTTTCTCTTCTTAAATTAGGATTGGTGTGTGTGTGTGTGTGTGTGTGTGTGTGTGTGTGTGTGTGTATTGGCTATATAAAGAAAATTAGGGTAACTTCCCTATGGAACTGAGGGTGCACAGGAAGCTGTTGTACCTTTTTCTCCTTAAATTAGGATTGGTGTGTGTGTGTGTGTGTGTGTGTGTGTGTGTGTGTGTTGGCTATATAAAGGAATTGAGGGTGTATCCCAAGATTGCAGCACAAATGACGAAGCTGCATCACAGTTCTGGATCTTGCTCCCTTGCAGTGTTTCCTGTAATCTCCCCAGCTGTACTCCAAATGATAGCCGCCCAAATATAATTTCAGCGGCCCTTTAGAAGGCTGAGTTTAGAGTGTTCATCATGAATTTTTCAAATTCACATGGTGTGTGGGGGTTAGTTGGACGGGTGAAATTAGCTCTCCTTTTTGCTAGTGCCAAAATAGCACCTTCTGTGTACATTTTCTATTTTATATAGCAGTGGAAAGTACTGAAATTCATGTAGTAAATAATGCCAACAAAAGTCAGTTTTAGTCATACACATGTGAAAATAAGGGTTACTAGACTTGTTTAGCTGAGAATATCTTCCCTTTATACTTATATTTAAATGCTTTAATGTTGCTTTGTGGGTTTTGAGAGGCCTCATGTTACTGTTGTAGTTGCTGGTTTTGATGTTGGTCTTTGTAGTATTCACTATTGCTTTTCTGTATACAGTTTGGTCTTATTCATTTTAAATGTATTCTGTTATGGCACAACCCAGTTGTAACACTATTGGCCAAGAGCACTGTACTCAGCTGTTATTACAGCTGAAGCCACTGCCACAGTCTCTGAACTTTAAACAGCCTTCTCTGACCACTGACAGCCCCATGGAAATCATAGCCAGGACCCAGGCTGGTTCCGGGGACAGGAAGTCTACTGTCTGTAAGCATTTGTAGCTGTTGAAGTCTTAGGATGGTGGGGTAGGATGCAAAGTAAGAAACTTCTCAAGAAAGTAAGGTTATCTGGGGTCCTTAATTTCCAAGTATTTCATGAGTACGTCAAGATGAATAAGGACCAAGGAATATCTGTGGCTCCTGATGGGGAGCTGTGTCTTGGAACTGGCATACATCCTGCAATGCACAGACAGCCTTGCAGTGAGACCTGCACAGCCGAGATCCTGCTGGTAAGAGCCTTGTGTGGCCAACAGGGTGAGATTCTGTAACCACACCTCATTGTTGGGCCCTTCATGCCCCCCAGGAGGACGCAATTGTTTAATTGCTTCATTTTGTTACCTTTATATTTAATTGAAGTTGTTTATGGGGCCTGAAACCAGAAATTCTCTATGAAAACCAGCAAATATAGTTGTTGTAAGTACTTATGCAAATGTAAAGTTGTTTTGTTTAGTAGATAATTTTGATATTTTTAATGATAATCATTGTTTCTTTTTACACATAAAGTTGGATTATTTTTTAGAATTTGTAATAATATTGCTGCTTTAACCATTGTAAGATATGCTTTATAATATAACATGTATTTTTAAATAAACTTTAATATGACATAATTTAGTGTGCATGTGTATCACACAAACTAAAACCACACTTCATACTATTTTAAATTTGGGACCTTTTGTCTCTTTTTGTTTTCCAGATTTAGAGAACTTTAAAGCTCAGAACACCATACACTCCACTTTGAAGCTATTTTGTTACACTCACCTGGCAGCATATGGTCATGACTGTGACTATCAAGTCTTAGGAGTTGAAAGAGAGATGTTCTCACAGCTATAGTCCTCGTGCACATGCTGAAAATTCCCAGTTGCTTTTGAAGCATGCCACCCCAAGATCTCATGTCTAAGATTACCATTTCAACTGCCATTTAATGGATGTTACCTTGACATTGTTCTAATCTGCAGGAAGCTCCCCAGTGTCCATCCCGCCAAACCTCAGCTTCTTTGTTAGCTTTTCCACTACTAGCAAAATACTTAATAAGGGGGTATGGAGATGGCTTAGTGGATAAGAGCACTTGAGGTGAAAGCAATCATTCAAATCCCCTGCACCCACTTGAAAGTCAGGCATGGCCAACATATGCTGATAATCCCAGCATTGAGGGGTGGAGACAGGTAGATCCTTTGAGCTCACTAACCTCAATGACCAGTTTGAAGTTCAGTGGGAACTACTGTTTCAAAAAATAAGGCAGAGGATGACAGTATAAGATGTCCAACTTCCTCCTCTGTCTTCCAAATGCACATACACATAAAAAATACCTGATAGGAAGAAAGTCATTTTGGCTCAAGGTTTCTGAGGTTTCAGTCCATTTGACTCTGTTTCTGGGCCTATAGTGAAACAGAACATCATGACAGAAAAGCATGGCAGAGAAAAACTGCTCAAGACAACCGGAGAGTTGAAAGATAGAGCACACTGAATTTTCAAAACCTCAGCATCAACTTGGGCAACACTAAACATAAAGCTAAATTAGTAGTGCATCAGTTAGGTTGATTCAGATTGCAGCTAGGTTGGTGCCCCACTGCCGCTCTGGTGGTAAGGATTATAGGAGGCAAAAAAGCCTCCCAAGAGCTGTGTGGGCTATGGGTCCAGCCAGAGACCTCTGATATGCAGGCTTCTCAGCAGAACTTTGTTTTATCTGAGATAGGGCTCTCACTCTGTTGCCCAGGCTGGTCTTGAACTTGGGCACAATAGACCATCCTGTTTCCAGCCTCCCAAGTAGCTGGGTCTGTAGGTGTATTCTACTATGCCCACCTCCTTAGAGTTTTCTAAAGTCCTCTGGCCTAAGGCCTCAGAGCCTGAACATTGCTAAGGGGTTGTGCTAAGTCCCCATCTGCCCCATAAAGTGACTTAAAATTTTCTCAAAAATATACAAAAATAACTCATTAGCACATTTCTTCAACTTGTCTTTTAATGTACGCCAAAGTATAGGTGTATCTAAAACCACTGATTTGTCATGTGAGCATTTCTAGCCACCTCTTCAATATTTTAAGTACCTAAGAGTATGCTTGCAACACTGACTTGAGTAATCCATAGGAAGAGAAAGAGAATACACAGAGTACTACTCAGGAGTGTCCAGGACTACCTCATGGTCCAAATCAAGGAGGAATTGTTCAGGTTTAGGATTGTGTGGTTCTCTAGGGTTGATTCTCCAAGATGCCAGACTCTTTCCCCGCCTGCTCACATGTAAGAACTAAGGATTCCACTGCTCAGGAGAAATTGGGTAAACAACCAACGACCTTGGAACAGAACTATTGGCTTTAAGTTGGCATTAAGTTATAAATGATTGGTAAGAGATGCTCTTCAGGTAAGCAGGAGAACATAGATAAGCAAAAAACTGTTGAAGTAGGAAGGAGGGATGCTATTAAGTAAAAAAAGAGGGAAGGCAAGTGATCCTAAGTCAGTTTTGTTTTCCATGTTAGCTTTTCCCCACCTTTAAAGGCTGTTGCAACTAAGAGACAGGTAATGCATCTTTTTAAAAAAAGTTTATTGGGCTTTTGTACATTTCATACAAGAGTTCTTAATTAAATTTAGACTCCCTCCTCCATCCATGCCTCCCCACTCCCACCCACCCTGCACCAGACCTCATGTATTCTGCTATATGTGTTAAGTCCTATCCAGTCAAGCATTTGTACCCAGATGTCCTTCGGTGCAAATTCAGTGGATGAAGAGTCTA